TCTTCCAATTCCTCAAAGTGTAAGCTGTTAGCAACCCTATCAATAAAGTCCATTACTAGCGCAACCCAAAAAGTTGTCCCCGGAGAGCTGCTGGCAATTTGCAGCAGAGCCTAAGAGTCAAACATCCGATTCTCTGTCCATCTGCTCGGTAAGTCTGTCTGCCTGCCTGTCTGTCGGTCTGTCTGTCTGTCTGTCTGTCTCAACATATCCTGTCAGCCACTTATCAAACGCCATCGTTTCAAAAACTTCACTGGGCTGTAGTAAAAAGTTATGTCCGTGGCGTTTGGCAACTTGTGCGTAATTCAATGAACGACGTTCCCATCAGCGTGGCACGTGAGAAGCCTCGCAAAGTGGCAGGAGTCTCTCTGCTTGTGTGTGTGTGTTTGACAGGTATCGAGTGCTTGAGTGAGGGAATGACGGAATGAGTGAGTGTCCAAAATGTGGTCACATTAAGGTGCAAACGCACATAATCAGCCACTGGGGACTCTAAGCAGCTGCGGCCGCAGAATGCAGCAAACAGCTCTCAGCGGAATTGGGTCAAGTTGCCAAGTTTATGGCTTGACCTTCAGAGTGAAAGTACTTTAAAGTATTGTGAAATCAAGAGGAAGATGCCTTAAAGCTAAACGCAGCGAGAGCGAGCAAATCTCTTGCTACGAATTTCTTTAAATTACCTAATTTCCTGTTTTCCAAGAGCAACACAACAATTGTAATACAACCGAGCTAAATAGTAATTAAAAAACGGTTGTAAATAGGCATCTCATATTGCCGTACATGTTATGTTGAACACAACTTTCTTTAATAGCGCTGGGAACTAAAGTTAATGCTAGAGGTGTAGATGAACATGAGTAGGCGAATTAGACTAACGTCCCAAAGCTAGTTAGAGTTTTTGTAGTTGAGTTTGCAAAATAAATGTTGTTCATATATAAACTTAAAGAGTTCATGGTATATTTAATTTTTAACTATTTATTTTTATTTGACTAATTTTATTTATTTATCAATATACTGGTTTATTTATTAACCAAGAGAAACAGTTGAGCTATAATTTCATCAGCACTGGGCTACTTCATTCGCAGGATTGTCAAGCTATATATTTTATGTATTTTATTTATAATACTGAGCTATAATTAAAAACAATTAAAATTAAAGTGAATTATAACTAAGGCAATATATCAGCCAAGATATTTGGCTGGGTAGAGTTTAATATTTATATTTGACACTCTAATAATATTATTGAGAAGTTAGATTAATGGGACTATACAAAAAATAAATAGAAAATAATTCTTTGTATATTAGTATTGAAAACTAAAATTATTATTATTATTATTAAAAATTAAATAATAATAAAAATAACGCTATGAATATTTTTTCATTTAATTTAATTTTTTTTAACGAGCTAACTCAAGGAACTTTATAGGAGATGATTAGCCTCGCTTCAATGGTTTGTTAGAATTTTATATAGAATATATAAAATTTGTTTATTAATATTGCAAGAGAACAAAGTTATTTATTCTATCAAACTTTAAAATGAAATATAGTACGCATAGGTGTAGCGAATATAAAGCTTAAAATACGTTTTATATAAATAGCTCAACTAATTCTATAAGCCATGCTAATTAATTGCAACCATAAACGTTTAAAAAGTCAAAATATCAAGTTAATAGTTTCAGTCGTTAGCGTTTTGGACTGAGGCAATGCAGTAAAATGTTGAATCCAATACTAATACTGGGTACTTGAAGGATATTCATATATGTAGAGGTCAAATATGATGTTGCTTAACTATTTTAAATACACCTCTAACAGGATGCATTGGCTTGGAGCTGGTTTCTGCTAACATCTTATTGACCCCCGAAAATTGTTTTGCACTGAAGAGTGACGAGTGTCCCAATTGGAATATTTCCTTCTGGCTGCATACGTAAGCGCGTTGTTGGATCTTCTTCTCGGATTCGATTTGATTTGAGACTCTTTGCAGCAATGATAATCTCGAAGGCGCTAGGTTTACCGAAAATGACAAATTCTTACCTGGGAGAAAACTGCATGTGCTGATACATGGATTCGCTGGTTCTCGGACCGCGACACCGAACAGTCAATTGTTACCGTTATTGACACTCGACAAGCAGGCAGACGTACTCTCCGTGGAGTATACGAATCTTGCTGTCGATCCCTGCTATAGTGAAGCTGTGCACAATTCACGCATTGTGGGTCGCTGTTTGGCTAACCTTCTGCTTAGTGCCAATGCGGATTTGTCAAACGCGCATCTGATTGGTTTTGGTATTGGTGCCCATGTGGCTGGATTTGCGGCGAAATTGCTGCAAGCGTTGAGCGTACGAGTGAAACGCATAACAGCACTAGATCCCGCCAAGCCGCTGTATCTCACCGATGATATTACGGGCCGCTTGGACAAAAGCGACGCCGACTTTGTGGATGTGATTCATTCGGACGTTTTTTTCCATGGCATCTTGATGCCCCTTGGTCATGTGGACTTTTATCCCAACTCGGGCATAGCGCAGCCCGGCTGTGGAGATATACACAATAGTTAGTAGCCGTAGTTTTAGCAGTAGATACTTTCGAATTGAGTCATTCGCTCTGTGCTTACAGTGGCCACCTATCAATGCTATCACAAACGTTCGGCGGACTACTATGCCGAGTCGATTACCTCGCCAGTTGGCTTTTTTGGCTTCTATTGTAAGGATATGATAAGCTACATGAAGTATGAGTGCCAGCCCAGCGATCACATTGAGCAACTTGGCTACAGAACAAGGCCCACGGCACGTGGCTCTTATTACTTGCAAACCAAAGATGTGGCGCCCTACGCTAATGGTATAGATTTCTCCAACGTGGATCGCAATTTGACTGGCAAAACATATTTGGGCGATGCTTTCGTTGCTATGCTGCTCACCCAACCTCACAAATAAATAAAATTGCTTCGTATGTGTTTTCTAGGGATTTCATTTTAGATGGTAATAAATGGAAAAATATAAAAAAATCAACTTTAATTAGTTAGCAAACTTAAGTGCTTTAATTTATATAATTTTTTTTTTATTATCTACATTTTTTTTTCAAGCTACGATTGTGTTGAGGATTTCACAATTTTTATTCGCAACTGCATCTGGAGTTTGGATAAGGATCCAGTTAGCCGGTCAGCTGGTCAGCTGGTCAACTGGTCATCTGTTCATTTATCATGCTAATATCGCATGACTGCGATACCTTCATATCATCATTAATTATGGCGACGCGTCGGCTTCGACATCGCTCCCCTAGCCCACCATTCATATAGAGCTGCAGTTGCTCCCTCTCTGTGTTGACTCAACAGCTCAAACATTTATGCAAACATTGGCAGACAGTAGTCGCTAGAGAGTGCACACTGGACAGTGGACTCCTCCTGCTGCTGCTGCTGCTGTTAATCCCGCCGGCTCTGGCTCAAATCACGTGCAAATTAATCATCATTCTATGTGATTTGCCAAAGCGCTGCAAGTTGTTGCCATGCTTGATAAATGATCTGACGCAAACGAAAAAAGTCATCAGATTTCAGCTTTTTTTCGGCCTTTCCATTTTTGGCTCTTTTTGCAGCTTCAATTTGCATTTGGGATAATCAATCGTGGGTCTGGCAGCGTCTGCCGGCTGTTGCTAATTTGCTGATAAGAAACCAGAGCATTTGCATAATTTGTATCAAATTGTGAGCTGGCGAAAATAGAAAGAGATAGCATGAGGCCAAACAGAGACATGCGAATATGCCAGCCCAGGGAGGGTTGAGTTTATTTAGAGCCATTGTCTGGCAGCTGAGATGGGTTCGGTTGAGCTGGTTATGAATATGCCTATATTGTTGATCTTCCCGTTGTTGTTTGTGTTGTTGTCACCTTTGTGTGTGTGTGCGTGTGTGTGTGTGTGCATGAGCCTCATTGTGCGGCATGACAAACATGGCAACTTACACGTGGCTTAAGTCAACAGCGGCTAAAAAAGTTTAAAATATTGTTGAGCGCACACAAAAACTTTGATTGATTTGGGTCGCTGTTGGTGTTGTTGCTGTTGTTGTTGTTGTTGTTGTTGCTGCTGCTGCTGCTGCTTCTGTGCGTCCTTGTCCTGGGCTCCGATTCATTGATTGATTTGCCTGCCTTCATTTATTTTCACACTCTTGCTTTTTATTTTGCATTTGGATTAGTGCGAAAATTTTTTATGCGTTGATTGGTTATTTGATATTCATGGCGCAGCGGACGAGCGGGCGAGCGGACGGACGGTGCGACCGACAGCGAGGAAGACGGAATAGCTAAGCGAGAGCCGACGACGCGTGCCAATGGATTAATGTAATTACAGTTGTCGTCGGTTGTTGTCAGAGACCGAAGATAGATGATGCCAGGGGGAACATCAGCTGTTGTCAGCCAGTGAGTTAATTTACGCCAGACTCGACAGGAGGCGGGCGGCAGACGGGCGGACGGGCGGCGTTGGCTGAAAAAATGAATTTTAAACTTGGATTGAAGGCTTAGTTCTGAACGTGTATTTTAGCAAATGGAAGCCATTATAAATTATGAGATTATATACATATGTATATAGAATCTCTGAGCAAACTAAGCAGTCTTATTTGTAATCTAAAAATAGTTGAGAGGTATTGAGTAAAAATAAACAGAACTACACTTGATGTACTTGAAGATAGGTAACTATAAAAATAAATAAAAATAAAAGAAAATAAAAAATATATATTGTATATAGAAATATAAATAAGAATATAAATATAATTTATATAACAATAAATTTAATATATTAAATATTTACATATGCTATATTTATTTTTATATATTAAATATAAATAAAAATTATATTTATATTGCATGTACATGTATTTCTATAATTATTTTATAGAATTTTTAGTTAAAACTTATTAAAATCAATAAAATCAATAAAAAATAAATAAAAATAATATCAATTCAATCTGATAAAAAACATCCGTCAGCTTATGCAATTAAAGCTAATCGAAATGAACAACATTATTAAATAAGTGTTTCAATAATTAAGTCATTCTTCAGATGTAAGCCATGCCAGAGCTGATTAAATGCGAGAAACAGATGGCTAATTGGCGCAGATAACAAATTGCGATCGACTTAAACAAACAACACACAAACTACGGCCGCTAATAGCTCTCGTTAAATGTAACAGAAAATACACAAAAACGCACACACACACACACACACACACACACATGTGTAGAGATCAGCTCCAATCACAATGTGGAGCCATCAATTACAGGCGAAAGACAAAAAACAATCAGTTGAATTAAAGAGAGCACGCGGAAGTGTTTACAAATGTCAAAGCGAAAAACCCGTTCAAAAAAATAAATAGAGTAAATGTGTGTGAGTGTGTGTGTGTGTATGCCCTTCTCCCATTTGTGGAGAAATGTAGCTAACCGCATCGAAATCTGGCATAGCCAAATGCAACGTGATTTCAAAAGTTTCTCATGTCAATTTGAAGATTTGGAATCGGTTGAGCAAACGTAACGAAAATGTCAATACCATTGACATTTGTTCCAGCCACTCGAAAGACAATAATAACAACAACAAACGAAGCAGCAGCAGCAGCAGCAGCAGCGGCAGCCGACGTAGCCAAAGGCCATTAGCGAGCGAGATGCACTCAGAGTGGTTGACGACGACGCGACGTCTTGGCTAGCGCCTTCACTTGATGTATTGTTTCAAGACATTTGATTTATATCACTGCAGACAGCAGATCGGCCGCCGAGCAGGAGGCGCAGGGACAGCGGAAGAGCGGAACAGCGGGTAGACGCATTTCTCTCCAGCTCTGGTAATGAAACTCCAATCAGCGCTGGTCAGTCACAGCCAGAGTTGTGGCCTGCGTAGTCTTGGCTGCTTTTCTCCAACAATGTGTATATGTGGAGTGTCTGGCAATGACAACAACAACAACAACAACTAAATTCGAGTTGGTATTGCGTAACGCAGCCGAAAGTGGAGCAACGGTTGCTGCCGCTCTTGTTGATGCTGCTTTCTTTGCAGCTGCCCCCGCTGGCTGCCAGTCTGCCCATCTCTCTCTCTCTCCCACTCTCACTCTCGCTCTTACTCTTTCTCGCTGTGTCTTTGCTATCAATGGGGGTTTCGTTTTGTTTTTTGACAACTGCATGATGCATTGCCCCAGTGGCCCAAAGTGGGTGAAAGGCTGCTGAAGTTGCCAGCGCTATCATACGGCGAGCATTTGCACCGCCGTCTCGAGTCAGTCTTAATTTACGACTCTGACGTTTACGATAACAATTTGTCAGCTTAATGGCCAAGAAGGATGCGCGGCGACAAGTGGACGCCAATTCGTGTATCCTCATAGCTGACGCTCGCTCTGACTCTGCACACTTTCCATATAATAACACGGAAGCCAGCGCAAAGACAACGCACGAAAACGAAAACTACAATCAAAATATTTGTATGTATATCTTATACATAATGGTATATATGTATATATAATATCTGTTGCGTTTATTTCGAAATAATTGCGATCGCTCTGCTTCGCATTTTGAATGCACATTTCGTGACTTCAGGCAACAGCAACAACTGCAACAGAGAGCATTACAAATGTGACTACAAAACAATTAGAGCTAATTGTGCAAGCGAGATAGCAACACACGCATGCCTAAGTGCATTTTTTATGGCTTTGCACTTTGGCAACTCTGTCGCAGCGCCGCTGCTCTCCAACTCCTCGCCGCCCTGGACACGCCCTCTGAGCAGCTTAAAGCTCTTTCGAACAGCTGATTGGGTCGCTCTAACTAGCCCCCGCACACACACTCATACACGCATATGCATTTATATATGTATGTATATATGTGTGCTTGCATATAAAGCGCTTCAATCTGCATGGCAATTGACAAGCCCATGGAGCCAACGCTCCCTCCGCTGCCCACACCAAGCAGCAGCGACCGTCAGGCGAATGTATTCATTAGTCGCATTGCCGGCATCTAGACACTGAGTTTAACACACACACAGGCACACACATACTCAGTGCAAACACACACACACACACGCACGCACACTTATAAATTGACAATTACAAGCCGTTGAATTTATGCTAATCTGACTGCAAGTCCCCGGGGCTAACAACTCTTCGTACACTCCTCGCTGCTGAGGAGTGTTTAAGTAGAGTTGGTAGCGTGTCACGTGGCTTCAACGATAGTTCAAATGTCTACGAGTAGTGTATGCTGATTATGAAGGATGATTACTTAATTAAAATAAAACTTAAAATTTATGTAGAAGTAAAAGTTGAATTTTTTTATTAAAGACATAAGAATATTTTGGTAGACGGAGAGAGAGAATATACTTTTATATAATTATAATAATGAATAGAAATAAAATGAATTTTATTTATAATAACACACTATCCAATAAATAAACAAACATAATTTCAAGCCAAAATAGTTAATCATTCTTCTTGTTTTCAATATTTAAAAAACAAAAATATTAAAAAAAATTATTTGATCGTATTTTAATTAAAATTATTTATTATATATTTAATATATACCAAATATTTACAATTTTTATTGATTTTATTATTTTTGTTTTTATTTTTATTATTTATTTTTTGTATTTCTTTATTATTTTATATTTCTTTCTTATATATTGTATTTTTTTTTCTTTTATAATTTGTCTATTATTTTTATTAAAATTAGTTATAAATTGCTACTAATCCTTAATTCTAAAAATTTGTATATAAATATAATATTCGGTGTATTAAAATTGATTTTGAGTATGCAAATACTTATAACCAATAACAAAATTAAAAGCTCATAAAAAGTGAGATTTGCTATTAACAGCTTTATCTGCAGTAGCAGACTTATTTGTATTATATTTTCTTATTACATTCCAAATTAATTATTAATTCTATAAAATATATATTTTCATTTAGTTTTTATTTATATTTTTTTTATTTTGAAAGGTAACTGTTAATATTAT